TCCAATACGAAGGTCGCGGACCACTAAAGGCCCAATGCCTGGCCGACTTCGTAGCCGAGCTCACACCAATTGCCACCGAAGAACCCCAGGCATGGACTTTACATGTGGACGGGTCCTCCAACTCCAAAGGAGGCGGCGCAGGCATCATTCTGGAAGGGCCAAACCAAGTCGCCTTGGAGCAATCCCTCAAATTCGGGTTCAAGGTGACCAATAACCAGGCAGAATACGAGGCACTCCTAGCGGGACTAAGGCTGGCCCGCGACCTCGGAGCTCGAAGAGTAAATTGCAACAGTGACTCAAAGCTCATGGTGGAGCAGCTCAGCGGGACGTACCAAGCAAAGGACACTATGCTGCAACAGTACTTCCACACTGCGTCCCACCAGATCTCAGCTTTCGATGAATTCACCATAAAGCACGTACTGCGAGAACAAAACGCCCAAGCTGACCTCCTATTGAAGCTCGCCAACACCAAAAGACCCGGGCAGCACCGAACTATCATCCAAGAAACCTTACACTCCCCCAGCCTGGACGACAAAATCGTCAGCCTCAGTGACAATGAAGACCTGGGCTGGATGGCAAGCATCTGGAGATACCTGAAAGAAGGGGTCCTGCCCGAGGACAAGAATGAAGCTCGGAGAGTAAGGATGAGATCGGCCAAGTTCGTTATCATTGGCGATGAGTTATTCAAGCGCGGCATCTCCTCCCCACTACTTAAATGTCTAACAGCATCTCAGGCAGCCTATGTCATCAGGGAAATCCACCAAGGGATATGCGGTATGCACTCTAGCGCGCGCTCAATGGCAGCTAGAGTACTCCGAGCTGGGTACTACTGGCCCACTTTGAAGTCAGATTGCCAAAGCCACCTCCAAAAATGCAAAGAATGCCAACAGTTCGGCAACAAGCACCAACAGCCACCCGAAAACCTCCACCATATGATGTCAGCATGGCCCTTCTCCCAATGGGGAATGGACATCCTTGGACCATTCCCACCTGCGAAGGGACAGCTAAAATTCCTTCTCGTAGCAATTGACTACTTCACCAAGTGGATCGAAGTGTGCCCACTCGCCAAAATTACCACCGAGAACGTGCGGAAATTCACTTGGAAAAACATCATTTGCCGCTTCGGAATCCCTCATGCCCTCGTTACCGACAACGGGCAGCAGTTCATTGCACAAGAGTTCGAAGAATTCCTCAACGAACTCGGAGTCAAACACCTTTCAACCTCGGTGGAACACCCCCAAACCAATGGCCAAGCTGAAGCTGCCAATAAAGTCATCCTCAGGGAGCTCAAAAAGCGACTAGGAAACGCCAAAGGACAATGGCCTGAGGAACTCCCCAGCATCCTCTGGGCGTACCATTGCACCCCCCAATCAACCACGCAAGAGACACCTTACAGGCTGACCTATGGAACTAATGCAATGATCCCAATAGAATTCGGCCAAATATCCCACAGACGCCAAACCTTCAATGGCGAGCAGAATGCACAAGAACTGGGTATTTTTCTAAGGTCAGGTTTTTCCAGTTGTCGGGCAAACAAATATATTGTGATACGTAACCACAATAATTTTATGATCAATATTTATACAGCATATATACCATTCAGGGGGCAAAAGTTGTTTGCCCAAGTCAACAGCAATATCATATGTTGCAGACATTAGAACTATTCTAAATGTGTAGCTTCTAAATTCTTCGAGAAAATATTCCAGAGAATAGTTCAAGGTGCCAAGCGTGTTGCAATTTACTAATCAAAATTTGAATTCTGACTAATCCAATTTCAATAGTATAATCATATGTCTCCAATAGTAATAATGGATACAGTAACAAATTCATCTTCGATGATAATAAAACTTCTTGCAGCTTATTAAAATTAGCCCATATTTCTGCAACTGTATTCATGACTTGTTGTTTGGCTTGGCTGCTAATATGTGACATGTTCATCAAAGTTAATCAAAAACTAGACTTAAATCTATATATAGAGCAAAAACATGAAAGAAATGAAAGAGAATAAGAACACCAATTACTTGTATTCAGATGGGAACTTACATTTGTGCTGCTCTTTAGACATGGAAAGCTCCAAGCCAGACACAGCAGAGAAAACTGCATAATATCCAAAAGCCAAATAATTCAGTCATCAAGATCCACGATCACTGCATCTCATGACCAAGGTTCTAAAAAAGGTCTAAGACCGTGATTTTAGCCGCAGCATAGGTCTCTATTTGACCTTAATTTCCTTCAATATATAGGATTAGGACGAAGCCACGGCCACAATCTAAAACCTTGGTCATGACCAAAACACATATAATACTCCAAATTCCAATACCAGAAATAGCAGGTGTAAGCACACCATCCCCGATAACCATGCAGGTCCCAATCAAAGCCAGAACCAGCAGCACCCTCTGCAGAACCTTGTGTTTCTCCAACACTGATTTCAATCCCTGCCCAACATTCCTCTTATCAATTGGCACTGTTCCATCCTTGGTGTACTCCGTTAATTCCTCATCTGCAAGCTGAACATTAGGCAACAACCCCACCTGCGCATGCCTGCATAGCAGAGAGTACAAAGCAAAAGTCCCTCCCTCTCCGTTGTCATCTGCTTTAAGCACAATGAACACATACTTGAGGAGTGGAATCAGTGTGAGTGTCCAGAACACAAAAGACAACACCCCATATATCTCTTCATTGCTCTCTGAGTGCTGAATGTCCTCAGCAAAAGTGCTTTTGTAAACATAAAGTGGCGATGTGCTTAAATCTCCATACACAACTCCCAGGCTCTGATAAGCCAATGTTAACACTGTCTTCCATGATTCATCCTGCAAGATGTGATGAGTGTTATGCCCAAAACAGTTTTTTTTCCACATGTATTACTCAAAAGGACACTCCCACATGGCTTACCTTAATCGAGTTTTTGTAGATCACAGACTCCAGATCCATTAGGGAATGTCTCAGAACAAGATAGCAACTTTTTTTAAGGAAAAAAATGCTTAGATGGTCATAGCAAAATGAATACCATCCTCATGAAGTAACACCCTCCCCAGATATGGAAAATAAAAATAGATTTTGAAAAGAGAGTTTGGTATAACTGCTAATCCTTTTCTTTGTTTTTTGTACTCTCTTTTCAAATATGTATATAAAAAGCCTGTTTTGGAAAAGAGGCACAAATGCAGACAAAAGAAGAACAAACAAACATACAACACCACCACCAACTAATTTAGAGAATAGTGGTGTGACGAGGAAGGGTGAACGGTGAAGTGATGTCAGAATGAGATGATTAGAATAATATAAGTGGGTATCCGTGTGGTTGAGAGAGAAGGAGAGAATAGAGAAGGGTATAACGTTTCTACTTTGTTCTGCACTGAGTGCTGTTTGGTGTTCGGGTTTTACATGTTTTCAGTTTCCTTCTACATTTTATTTTTTTATGTTGCTCTATTGTGTTGCAGTTTTGTACTAAGGAAATTTATAATATTTTTGGAATTTGATATTTTATATATATATAAACATGGGTGTGTGTGACAGAAAGAAGGTGCATCACATGAATTACATGGGTAAGAAACAGAGGAGAGGGTTCCATTGTTTGCATCCAAAGATTAGCAATTGCAATAGCATGCACTAATTGGAACTATTGAGTGACCTGACAATAACGCTGACTACGGCTGAACTGAAAGAGACACGTCCTCCATTTGTCTACCTCTTTCTCTCCCTCTCCTAATTATGGAGACGTTTGAGTTTACCAGCTGTTAGCGCCTACCTGTTAAAATAAAAACTCTATTAGAATAAAAGAGATTTTTTTTATTATGTATGGACATAATTTCAAAACTAATAATTAATAATTAATTTATACATGTGAGACATGATTTTAATTTATTAAATATTATTTTAATATAAACGCGAATTAAATTTAAGAGCGTGGAAAAAATATTAATAATATCTAATTTATTATTTGTTTATGACTTAATAATATCTTTTACTATTTCATCATATTCTCCTTTTTGGAGAGGATTTTTCCTCAAATCTAGAGCATCTTCTTCCTCTTCTTCAACATCTACAAAGGAAGGTATGTCACAAGCATTAGAGGTGTTATTTTCTTTATGAATGCAAGGTCTAACCTATTGGTCCTCTTTAGATGTGAGGTGATTTTATCCTTAATTTCTTTAATTTTATTGGGGTCCTCTTGATTCCCCTTAAATACAAGGCCCATAAAACTATCTAAATTCAAATTATATTTTTCTAATTTTTCTAAAGGAGGTTTTTCTACAAAAAAAAAAAAAAAAAAAAAA